GGTAATCAAGAGCCAGGCCATTCTGGGCTGATCCAAGAATTGGGATTTAATTCTCAGAGAGACAAGCGCCTTTGAGAGTGAAGTGACACAGTCTCACATTTTAGACTGCTATAGGGACTATGGGCATTTGACTCAGAGAGTAGGGGGTCTCTGCAGCATCAGCCACACCAGCCCTTGCTCCTTATTCAAACACAGCCCTCCAGCAGGTACCAGGATGAGGGAAATGGGACCAGAGGACTCCCCTCACTCTTGTCATCTGCTCAGCAAAAGGTCTGGAATGCCCCACACACCTTCCTGCGTGAGCCACACAAGTCAGTCCCAGATCATGCTTGGAGTTACCCCATAATTATTTTATTCATTTACCCAGCAACATTTAAGTGCGGACCTGCTTTCTGCCAAGCCTTGTACTGGACATGGGGACATGCAAAAGGGCCACTACTTTCAAGGAGCTCATGTTTTCAGGAGGGCAAGGCTGAGCAGGAAGGTGCAGGCCCATGCTGGGATGGGCTGACTCCTCCTGACCCCACACAGCAGTACCACAGCTGGAATCACAGACGAATCCATGCCTGAGCTCCCGAGGAAGCCAGCGGAGTGCTAAATCCACACCCCTCACCCAGCCCCCCATGAATGGTGAGGAAGTCCAGGCTCAGGGAGGGAATGAGAAGGACCCCAGGTCACACTGGAAGTTAGAGAACTAGATTCTTCCCACTCAGAGTCAGCCCCTGAGATGGAGCAGGGTCTCTGGCCTGGGAGCAGCGTGAGGGCTAGGACCAAGTGTGTCTCTCCACCGTATCCCCAGGGCTCAATAATTCTGTGCCGAGTGAGTTAGGGACCCCAGCTCAAACTGAGAAAAGATCAGGCTACACCCAGCAAGAAGGTCCAAAGACCCTGCCTCCTCGGGCCCAACAGGAGCCAGAGCAGGCCGACCTGCTGTTTGGAATCATGGCGAAGAAGCCTCTTAGGCCTGCAGCTGACATACCAGGGCCCCACGGATGTGAGAGAAACCTGGCCCCTTCTGGGAGCCCCAGGAATCAGTTCCTGAGAGGGGAACCTCTACCAGAGCCCATGCGAGTACCCCCCCCACACCCATACAACAGCAGTGAGTTCAAGTAGTTATTATTCATATTTTTTTGCTTTAATAATCATACAATCTGTGAGCATAAGAGATGCTCTCATTTCCATTACCCCGTTTCACAGAAGAGCAAAGAGGATCAGAAAGGCTAACTCAGATCCGAGATCTCTAGCCCGCAAGTGATGGAGCTGGGTTCAAATCTTGTCGAATTCCGGAGTCTACATTCTCATCCCCTCAAAAGATCAACTTCCTGGCTGACACAGCCCCTCCAGTGGCCTGCCTGGGGGCTATTCCGGGCACAGTCCTGGGAGGCTGGCCTACTACAAAACACTGGGTTTGGGGCTTTCTTATCTTTTTTTTTCTGAAGTAGAAAATCCTTTTTTCAAATGAAAACAGGAAAGAATATCCAGTCACACAGCTTATAAAAGCAGAGTTGCCCCCACACCGCCATTCCCACCACCGGGGTCCCTCCCCACTCCCTGAAGGTAAACTCAGTTTGTGCCCCCCCCACCCCACCCCCCAGCCTCCTCCTCTAAAACTCCACCTCTGTCACTGGCAGCCCGGCCCCTTGCAGCCAGGAGGACCTAATGCCTCCACAGCCCGGGCTCAAATGCATCAATCTCAGAGGCAAGTCGAGCGGGCCTTTCTCATCCTCACTTGGCAGAGGAAGAAACTAAGCCCAGAGCCAGACACGCTTGCCCCAAGCTCCGCAGGCTGCTCAGTGGCAGAGCGGCAACAAAAAACGAGGTGTCCTGCCTCCTGGTGCTGTTTCTGCAACAGAGCCACTGCCTACACGACACAGGTGGCCAGGGCCAAGGGCAGGAGGGCCAGATGTAAGCATCCTAGGTGGGCAGGGTGGCCCTACCCGGCTCATCAGCTGTCCCCCTCCCGAAACCCTCAGCTTCCTGACTAGCACGCTTGTCCCTCCAGCACCTGGCCCACCTTCAGGCACCTTAGAGTGCTTGGGGGGAAAGCTCTGGGGAGCCCTGGGGAGATCCTCTTGCAGAACAGCAGGGTGTGATTTACATCTATTCAGATCTCACCAAAGACTGCTCCCGGATGTAAAGATGTAAAGCAGGCCAAGAGCTCCTGGGCCAGCCCCAGACTAAAGTGGGCCTGTGCCTTGTGCCTGCCCTGAGTCTAACACCTCAGGATGCCATTGAATCTGAGAATCCGAGTGTCTGTCGGGATTCCAGATTCCAGGTGTTTCTGGGGCCCCTGTTTATACTTGGTGTTTGCTGAGGTTCCCAGACTGCATTATAGCTGCATATGAATGCAAGTCTCAGACTGCATCATTCTTTCAGCTGCACAGAGTCCTGAGAAGGAGGGACTGTCCACTGCCTGGTGCGGGGGGGGGGGGGGGGGGCTGGCCTGACTGGGGACTACTGGCTGCCCATCCCCCACAGGCAGGGCAGGCCCCTACCGCAGCCCCAACCTCCAGGCTGGCTTGGCCACATAAATCACCCTCCCAATAATATTTGTATTGATTATCTAGATTGGAAGCCTCAATTGGCTCCATTGTCTCACTTCCTCTCCCGGGGCTCACAGATGGGGTCCCTTTGCCTCATCTGCGTTTCTAATGCGACACTTAAATGAAGCAGCCTCAGCAGCCAGCAACGCCCCACGCTGCCCTGGCGGGGGCTTGGAGAAGTGATAAACATATTCCTTGAGAGACAAGGATTCAATCTGGGGCCTGTGGGGCTCGAGAAGCCAAAATGAGCTAGTTCCGGGATACACGAGGTGTGGCCCATCCGCACCATCTGGGTGCGCGTTAGAAATGCGGAGCTCAGGCCCCACCCCAGACCCACCAAATCAACATCAACATTTAACAAGATCCCTCAGTGATTCCCAGGCATGTTAATGTTTAGGAAGCACTGCTCTAGTATGCAACCCTTGTATTGTACAGATGGGAAACTGAGGCCCAGAGGAGGCAAAGGGCTTGTCTGATGTCACACAGCACGTGTGATCTCCTGAGTCTCTGTCTGGCTCAGGCAGAGGAAATGAGAGGCAAGTGACTTCTGAACCGAGGGGGTGGCCTTTTTTGGGCTCCTCTCCCTCCTGAGCTCCTACCTCCTGTCTCAGGGCGTGGACAGATGGTTCAGACCAGGCCTGGAGGGGCCAGCAAGAGCTCCGGGGACTCCCCAGGAGGGCACCTCCCTCCCGGCCCCGGCCAGCCAGCTGCCCCTTCCCTGGCAGCAACTGGACAGCAGATCCCGGGAAAAGCGCCACCTGGGTCCGCCCAGCACAGTGGGGGGCCCTAAGAGACAGAGGCCCCCCGAGAGGCGGCCCGAGGACCTGGGAGACGTGGGGAGGAGGGACCAGAAAGCTGTGATCCAAGGGAGGGAGGCAGGGAGGACAGCTATGGTGGGGGGGGGAGACAGACAGAGGGATGGACAGACACAGAGGGGAAGGGGTGAGCACCAGGAAGGAGGGGAGAAGGACTGAGAGAGAGGGGTGGAGAGAAAAGCAGCAGTAGCAGGACTGAGAGGGAAGAAGGGGAAAGAGGGAGGGAGGGAGGGGAATGGAGGCTGTAAAGAGTGATGGCACAGGGAGAAGGGAGGCAGCTGGCCTGGAGTCGGGGAGCCCAGCCCGGCGCAGCCCTGCCCGGCCTGGCCCACCCCAGCCCCCAGTGACGGCGCAGCTGCCACGCTTGGGCCCTACCATGAGGTCAGTCCTGCCCCGGGGCGGAGGGAAAATGAATGGGGTCCAAGATAAAAGGTCCAAGAAATTATTTGTCTTCTTGTCATGTCTTGACTGCAACGAGAAGGGGCCGGCGGGCAAGCGGGGCATCATCCCAGAACAGCCCAGGCTGGCAGGCCCACAGTGCACACCCGGGGCCCCAGCCCCAGCCCCAGCCCCGCGCCTTGGCCACCCACGGCCCCAGCTCCCCTGCCCGGGGGGGGGGGGCGGGGGGCCCTGGGACACCTCCCAGAACCTGGCTTAAGAAGGCGAGGACCAGGGCTGCCTGGGGGGCTCAGTCGGTTAAGTGTCTGCCTTCGGCTCAGGTCATGATCCCGGGGTCCTGGGATCGAGCCCCACATCGGGCTCCCTGCTCGGCGGGGAGTCTGCTTCTCCCTCTGCCTCTCCCCTGCTCGTTCTCTCTCTCTCTCTCTCAAATAAATAAATGTAAAAAATCTTAAAAAAAAAAAAACAGAAGGTAAGAACCTGTGGGGCAGGGTCAGTGTTTGCTCAGCTCCGGTCCCCAGAATCCTCTCGAGGCTCTGGGAAAGTGGAGTCCTGTCTGTTTCTCTCACTGCTGAGGGTCTGTGTGAGCCGGGGGGTGGGGTGGGCAGGGAGGCAGGCTGTCTCATTCCTCCCGGCCCCCTTGCAGAGGCAGCATGAGGTGAGGGATGGTTCCCAAACACCCCAGAGGAGGGCTGGGCGGTTTCAGGGTCAAGGGCAGGTCAAAGGGGAGATAGCCCAAGTGCTACGAGCACCATTCCTCACAGGTGTACAAGCTCAAGCTCGCAGAGCACGTACCCGTGCTCACACCCATGCGTGCCCATGTGAGAGACTGAGAGGGGAAGAGGGGGAAAGAGGGAGGGAGGGAGGGGAATGGAGGCTGTAAAGACTCACACCAGGCCACCTTCCGCACGGCAAGCAGCATCCAGAAAGCACTCCCTGGAGGCTCCCACCTCTCTGAGCACCTGAACCCGGGGCTGGTGAAGCAATGCCGTGGGGAGCAGCTCCTGGCTTTAGGCCGTGCCCAGGGAAGCCACGGATACCCATGACCTTTCCCGGCAAAGCGGTGAGCACTCCCCCCGAGGCTCTCCCGAGAGACACGACTGCACCTGCAGTTTGCAGAGGAGGTGCGGGAGGGCCAGAGGGGCTGTGCCAGGAGCGAGGTTACACAGCCAGGGCAGGGCAGACCTGGGATGTGAACCCGAGGGCTGGGAGGCACGCGGTGAGGGGGGGGGCTGGCACCTACCATACTTGTCCCCGTCCTCGCCGCGGGCACTGATCCTGCGGCCCAGGACCTGGATGTGCTTCCCGCTGGTGCGGCTGTAGAGCTGGTACAGCCGCAGCTGCTTACGGCTCACATCGTCCCGAGCCCGCGTCTGGTTCTCCACGTGGATGCGGAAGTCCACGTTCTCCTCGGCCGCCAGCACCTGGCCAGGGAGAGCGGCATCAGGGATCTACCTCAGAAGTCCCGGGTGCCCTGCACGTGGGAGCCACTTTCACCCCAGAGAGCCAGGGCCCCGCTCCGTGCTGGCTCCGGACCGGGCCCCGGCGCAGACCCGTACCTGCTCTGTTACCATCCCCATCTCACAGATGAGGCAACCGAGTCTCAGAGAGGTGAGGCATGCTGCCCGAGGTGGCTCAGCCAAGAAGTGGCAAAGCCAAGAAGCAGGCCTCGGTCTACTGGACAACAAAGCTTGCTCTGCCTTTCCACCAAAGCCCCAAATTAAAGCAAGAAGTACGGAGCGGAGGTTTCTCCTGTGACCTTGGGCACACAGACTCCTTCTCGGTGAAACAGTCAAGCAGAGCCCCTACCCTGATTACGTTCCAGGGTGGCCGTGAGAATAAAGTGAGCAAGTGAGGAGTAAAGGATCAAAGTCGATATGAAGATGGGAGAAGGATGGGGGGCATATAACTGCTGGTTGCGTGCACAGCAGGGAAGGACAGAGGCCTGGCAAGTCACCCTGAGAAGGAAAGGGCCAGAATCCACTGTCACGTGTGCCTCAGGAGTTGATGCCAGGGGCTCTCCTCTCCACAACCAAGCACCCTCACCTGGCATTCGCCCACACCCCTGGCGTCTCTTGGAGAAGACTTCATTTTGCATCTCCCACCAAAACTCCCTATATCCCCAGAGGTTTAGTTCACATCTGACCACATCCTCCGGGAAGCTGTCTCTGGCTACGCCAACATGTATCTCTCCAGTCTCCCTTCCCGAACACGACCTCTCACCTGGACAACTTGAAGCCACCTCCTCACCAGCCTTCTGCTCCCACTATTGCCCCCTGGTTGTCTGGCTTCCACCAAACCCAAACACCTTGAGTAATGCTCCCCCTCCACACTCTCCGGGGCTTCCCATCACGTTTAGACAAAGGTCCCCACCACGGCCTCAAGGTCCTCAGGATGAGCCCCCTCTTCACCCTTCACTACTCCCTCACCACCCCCCCCTTATACCGGCTGCCTTATTATGCCACTGAGCGTTCCAAACACAAAACACACACTGGCCTCAGGGCCTTCACACTTGCTCTTCCCTTGGCTTCAGTGTTCTTTCCCAGATTTCTACATTCTGGCTCCTTTACTTCATTAGGGTCTCTGCTCAGTGTCACATCCTGAGACTGGCCTTCTTTGACTGTTTTTCTGAAGCAGCCCCCACCCCGTCACTCTCCATCTCTCTACCTACCATGCTATGTTTTTTCCTTCTAACATTGACCAACCTGACATAACATCTACTTATCTGGTTTTTGTCTGTCTCCCCCCAACATTACATTGGCAGTACCATGAAAGCTGGGGCTGTCTCCTTCTTGCTTGCTGCTCTATCCACAGCATGTAGCACAGCAGAAACTCAAAACATTTGTTGAATGCATGAATGAATGAACAAATGAACACTGAAAAGATGTGGAGTCCTGTCATTCCATTTACCATTAAATTGGGTTTACCTAGGCCCTGCTAAATGCATGCCTGTCCCATCCCATCTTAACCATAAAGCTGAACAATTCTTGAAACCCAGACAGTGTTCTTGGTTTGTTCTGTGTGCCCACGAGGTCTGACAGGATGCTGGGCAGGCAGGACCCCACTCCCATGAGAGCATGGCCCACTCAGCCTGTTGCAGAGCTCTTGGGACCAGGGCTGCCCAAGCATCTGTCTCACTTCTCAGTCGTGAGCTCCCGAGGGCAGGGACCGTGTTCTCCTCATTACTACATCCCATGCCCAGCCCAGGATCTCTGTCCGCAAGCTGAACTGCACATGTCCCCTGTGGCTAGCCTGGGCCCCACAGGCACTCCAGCTGGACCACATTATTTATCCTTCACTATCATCCTCAAGGCGGAAATATTACCCCACATTACAGATGAGAAAACTGAGGACCCAAAGCTAAACTGACAAGGTCCCAGAACAAGCAATGGCAAAATTAGCCCCAGTTATGGCTCCAAAGCCCCTCTTCCAGCCCCATTTTGCTGGGCCCCACTTGCCCCACCAGCACAATCAGGAGGAGGTCCCAGGGTCAGAACCCAGGGTGTGCCCTTCCCTCGCTAAGGGGCCCTAGGCAAGTTACCAACCCCTCTGGACTTCAGCTTCCCTCGAAAATGAGAGGGGTGACAATGTCACCCACCCCACAGGCTGCTCCGCAGATGAAATGTAGAAAGTCTTAGAACAGTGCCCAGCACAGAGCGAGTACTCAGGAGGCAATAACTAAGAGAGCACATGGCGGCCCTTTCAGAGGCTCCCAGTGAAGCCCTGCAGACAGAGCCTCTCTGGAAATAGAAGCAGACCACACCCCCATCCCTGCAGACAGAGCACCTCCGCACACACTCGGTCTGGGAAGACGCTATTGCCCCTGACCCTCCAGACAACCCTGCAACATGGGAATGCTTATCACCTCCACTTAGCAGATGCAGAAACCAAGGCTCAGGAAAGTCAAGTCGGTTGCTTCTAGCCACACAGCCAGGGGTGCGGGGCCTGGCGCCTGGCCCACCAAGGGTGCACACCCTTCCCTCTCACTCTTTTCGATGGCCAGCCCCTGTGACCAATTCACAGCCAGGGTCTGACACCTGGGACCCACCTCCTCTCATAGCCCGATGCTCAGGGAGGTGCCCCCTGAGGTTCACACCTGGTGGGCACGTGTCCTGAAGACCCCCCCGCCCATGGCCCTCGACCTCCCCAGAATGACTTCCTGAGCTAGCCTGGACTTGTCCCCTCCCCCAAGGGCGGGCCTCCAGCCTCCTTCCCTGTCCTCCAACTCTCCTCCTGCTCACAGGAGACCTTATCGACCAGAGGTCAAACCAATCTCCTTACCCCGGGTCCCCAAGGGGAGCTGCCCTGCCCCAGAAGCCAGCCTCCTGTTAACGATTTTCTCCCTGGCCCACTGGACGGAGGCAGCGCGGGTGACCCAGGGTCAGCAGGGGCTATCCGGTGGCCCTTCCCCAGGATGTGGAGGGAAAAATTCATCTTGCCCAGCTTCCACCATTCAAGCCACATTCTGTGGTCACATCCTGCCCAAGGGAGGTAGCAGGGGTGGCCTCTGACACATAAACAGAGTCCATCCTTCTGAAAAGGCAGAGAGACCCCTGGGCTTCCTGGGCAAGACCTCTGGGGAGCCCCAGGCCTTTGCGCAGGTCAGGTCCTCTGCCCAGGAAACCCTGCCCCCTCGGCCCAGCTGACACCTGCCCTCAGGTGCCTCCTCTGGAAGTCTTTCCTGCCCCCCACCCTCCCAGCTGGGTTAGGGTCTCTGGACACTACACTATAATGGCTTATCATCCTCAGACTGCATCTTCTCCGGCTCATCCTGGGGTCTCCAGCTCTGGCCCCAGGAGGTGCCCGGCGAAGTTTTGCTAAATGACTGTGGCTAGAAAGAGGGAAACCTGGAGGCCAAAGTCTGCTCCAGCACTTACTACCCAGACAAGCAGAGTGCCCCACAGAGGGGTGGCAAGGGGCGTTCTTAAAGCTATCAATTGCTGAGCTTTCCTCTGTTCCAGGCGCTCTGCTAGGAAGCCCTCTAGATGTGGTGCCTCCTTAACCAGTCCTGGAGGTGGGCCCCCGTTGGAGCTCACTGCAGAGACCGGACCTCTGAGGCGCTTCTCCGGGGCCACGGAGCTGGAACAGGGGCAAGCGGAGCTCTAGTGTCTGCCTCAGGAACATTCTTTCCCTCCTGCTTTCCTGCTCACTGGGTGGCAGGTCACTGGGCCTGGTGGGGAAGGAGGGGGACTGTGTTGCCGGCCTTCCCGGAACAGCCGAAGCTGTTCTCCGCAGGCTAACACCGCCCCCCCGGGGGCACGATCATCTGGGGTGTTGAGAAGCTGCAGTGGGAAAAAAATGACACCACTGCAGCTCTCACGAGGTGAGCAGGCTGGTACATCCAGGACGTGTCCTTGGGCAGAGGAAGGCACCTTTGTCACTCTGCCTTCCTCCCACCCCAGCTTCTCTTTTGGGTCGAAGCAGCTTTTCCCACAGCTGGATGGCCTATAGTGGGGTCCCCCTGCAGCCCAAGACCCCCCATTAAGACCCCTCTCCGGCCAGCCCCTTCCCCGCCCTGAGAGCTTGGGCTCTGGTGGGAATATTCATTCCCCAGTCCAGGAATGGCACAGAGGCATCAACGGCCTGACAGGGTCAAATGTCCCCCAGGGTGCGCCGAGGCCCCAGGCCCAGGCACAGACAGGGCGCCCAGTGGGACGGAGCTGCCCGCCTTCGGCCTGGCCTGCAGCCTCATGCTTGCGGACACAGCCCTCTAACACTCAGGGCGAGCCACACTCGGCCCGGCTCCCCACTGCCCACAGCGCGGTGCCCGCTCGGGGTCCTTCTACCTTCTGAGCTCCTTCCCTTAGGCACCTTGGGGTGAACCTTCCATGGGGTGAAAAGAGGTTGGGGTGATTTCAAGGCCAGCTGCCAGACATCAACCCAGGTCCCCTCCTGCCGGGGCATTCATCAGCCACCCCTGCTCTGTCTGGCTGAAGATTTCGGCTTCACTGACCCACTCCTGTTCTGAAGACATGTGTGGGGGCTTCTACTTCTTCCCGGGCCGCACCGCCACCTTCCACAGACGTCCGCCTCGTCATGCAGCACTTCGGCGCACACACCACACACGTTCAACACGATGACTAGCATGGACTGACCACCGATTCGTTTGCTTTCTCTAACGCTCAGTTTTCTCACTGGCAGGATGGGGACTGCGGATCACATTTACCCCAGAGAAAGGAACAACTACAACTGTTTTCTTTTTCTTTTTTTCTTGTGTTTTGTTTTCTCAACAGCCACTGCTTCTTGAGCATAAGAACCACTTTAGGTCAATGGTCTTACATAATTCCCAGAGTGGCCCCATGAGTCGGGGCGAGTATAGTCCCCATTTTACAGAGGAGGAAACTGAGGCTTGGAGAGGTGGCATCGCATGTCCAAAGAGGCGCACTAGTGAGCAAAAGAATCAGCCTAGAGCCCAAGCGCTCTA